ACTATAAAAACATATGAGTAGGTCACAACCCATATATTAAATTTACTATAGATCGATACCATTTCGATACCAGTTCGGTACTTTTTCGGAGCCCTAGTTTTTTCTAAGGAATTTTGCCTACCTTAGTTTGACCCTGAATTTTTGGTTGCATCAAAATCCTTAAATAATAATTGGTTTGAATTTAAAACTGGTTGATCTATATGTAGCAAGAAATATAAACAAGACACGTAACTCCCACGTGCTTTATCTCATACAACACAAACCTGATGATACAATTGGATATAGTAAAAAGAGCAAGGCGACGAGGTGCTCTTTTTGTTAAGACGTGTTATGGTGTTTCACTCTTTTCTCTTGAACTGGTTTCTTTTCTCTTCAAGATTAAAAGAAGTCTCATTTCAATCCAATAACAAGCTTTTTCTATTGTTGATTGTTCCAAAAATGGTTGGAAAAAGGGTCTTGAAATTATTCACTGGTTAAAAGAAGTCATAAATTCTTGAAGATTAGGCTGAAAGAGAAATCGCTAATCGAAATACCAACCCTCTTTAAGGTTAGAAGTCTTCGAGTATAAAATTTCAAGAATTACTCTTCTGGAAGTACCCTTAAACATTCTTGATTAACAATAGAATAGCAGAAATTAAATGGTTTGTTCAATTGCAAATGGTAGTAAAGGATTTATCCTGATGGATTGAAGTTGATATTGGAGGATTTTTATTTACCAGAACAAACTTTTCTATTACCCTTTCAATTTTCCTTTAATTTCTTAAAAAATAAAATTTTTTTTTACTTTTTAGGATTATAGGTTTATATTAGAGTAACAGTCTGAATATAGGTTGGCTATGATTTTTTTTAAGGCCAAGGAGCGATCTTGAAAAAGAAGTGATTTTATTATTCCCTATAATTACACTTAGAGAATTACATAACTTATTAACAGATGTTTTGCATTAGATACAGTTTAGCTCTAATATATAATCTTAGGGCTTAATGTATTATTGTAACATATCTTTAAAGATTAATAAACACAGTGAATATAGTCTAATTAGAAGAAAAAAAAAAAACAAATAAAATAAATTATAAGTAAAATTAGAAATATAATTTATTTTGTTTTTTTTTTAATCAGATTGTAAATAATATATATTTAAAGTTTTATATGAATTAAATAATTATTTATTAAATTAAATTAAAAAATATTAATTCAAAAACTTTTATAAATTAGAATTTTTAATAATACTATTTTAGTATTAATTTAATATTAAATTTATTATGAATTTAATAAAATAAATTATATATTATATATTAAATTTATATTATTTTAATATTATTTAAAATATTAATTTTAAGTTTTAATAAATAGATAAAAAATAAATATTTGATATATTGAATAAAAAATTAATTTTTATTAATTTTACTTTTAAAAAAAATATAATTTAAATATTTGACTAGCTATTTAATTAAAGTTTAAAGTAACTTGAAATTAATAATAATATTGATATATTTTTATAAGTAATTGTTAAACTTGTTAAAAAAATATAAAAGACAAATCTTACTGTTATTATTTTATTATAAATTTGTATTTTTTCAAGTTAGTAATAAATAAAAATATATTATTTTAATAAAAAAAAAAATTAAACAAAAATAGAATTCGTAATAAAATCAAAAGCTTATTTTATTAAATAGCAACCTAAAATATTAAAAAATTTTTAATATAATTGGTTACAAATAACAAATTATAATTTAAATTTTTTGAAAATATTATATTATTTTTATTTTATAAAAAATAACAAATCTTAAAATGAAATTTATATTTTTTTTTGTTTTCATCAAACCATTATTAATTTTAAAATTTTTTAAAATTTATAACAATATAAAATATAATTATGAATTTAAAAATGATTAAATGTTTATTGTATATACATATGTTATTGAATTTATAAATTCTTGATACAATTAATTAAGTTATTATTAAAATAACAAAATAATTTATGCACTATATACTATATATAAGAATTAAATAACTTGAAGATAAAAAAATTTTTTTTTATTTTATTATTTAAATTTGCGAAAAAAAAATCCATATATTAATTAATGACGCGTGCTGGCTCTATTAACATTTGACAGATCCTTTTGTCATGTGATTTAAATACAAATGCAAACGTCACGCGAATACAAAATATAGATAGTTAAGAGATTCGTTATCAAGACTTACGCGGTTAGTAAAATTTTCTCAACTTATCAGCTTGTAAATATTATAAACTCAGCTAATAAAGTAAAATAAAATGGTATTTAATATAACGTTTAAAATTTTAAATTCCTTCTGTTTTATCTCGGGATAATATTGTAAAAATGTCTACCATTCTTTAACTATTTCAACAGAATTCTTCCCAAATACAGGAGGTCGATAAAGAAAATAGTACATGTATGACCCAGTAAGTTTTCAAAAATTCATGGACAGTCATAATTTCAAGTTAACTGGAGAACAAAACCAATACACTTTAGACAAATTGCGCCGACCATGTTTTCGCTTAAAGATTTCAAAATCGGACATCAAATTGGAAAGGGAAAATATGGTCGTGTTTACATGGCAACCGAAAGAACAAGTGGATATATTGTCGCGCTCAAAATACTACTAAAGCAAGAATTACGACACGAGAAACTCTTAAACCAATTGAGACGCGAGGTAGAAATTCAAGGAAATCTTAGGTGAATGAGTCGACGTATTCGGTGTTATCAAATGCCAATGATATCTCGATTGTTAACTAGAGGACATAAAAAAATGTTCACATAATAGTCATCCCAATATTCTTAAACTTTACGGTTACTTTCAAGATGAAAAACGTGTTGTTATGATTCTAGAGCTATCACCGTATGGAACCTTGTATGATATTCTTAAAAGATATCAAAGATTTACAGAAAGAAGAGCTTCAAGGGTTCGATATTTATTTTTAGTCTGGCAGAATTTTCTTTTTACGATGATTCAACCTTAAGCTCGTACTTGTTAGCAGACAGAATTTCAAAAGAAACCTTTATATTGCACGTGATTATTAACCTTATAATTATTTGTTTAGTATATCGCACAGATCGCTCATGCATTAAAGTATCTTCATCAGAATCATGTCATCCATCGAGATATCAAACCAGAAAATCTATTGTTTGGACTGAGAGGAGAACTCAAGCTAGCAGATTTCGGGTGGTCTACTTATTCAATGGGGTAATATATATGTAATAATGTTAATAGATGAGATAATTTCATGCATTAATCAACACTGGTTGTTTGCTTCTCGTTAAGCTCCCAACATACGATAGTTTGTGGAACTTTGGATTACCTTTCGCCAGAGATGGTGATGCGCATTCCGTATAATGAAAAAGTTGACGTATGGGCCCTCGGAATCATATGTTATGAATTGTTGGTTGGAACACCCCCATTTGTAGCAAAAGGGTTTGCCACAACTTGCCGGCGGATAATATTCGAAAATGTTGAAATCCCTAAATGTATATCATTTGAGGCAAAAGACTTTATTTTATCGGTAGTTAAACTTTTGAAGAATTTTTACATCAATAACATCTTTTATAACTGCTGGTACTGATCCTAGATTTTTCGTAAATTCAAGTTGTTGCAAAAAGATCAAAACAATCGACCATCAGTAGAAGTAGTTTTAAATCATCCATGGATTCGGATGTATAATGATACCACACCTATACCACGTATCAGAGCACATGCCACGAATGTTCAGCCTCCTATTACCAATACTCTATCTGAAATTTATGAAAATAGCACATGATCTTATTTTTACCAGATTTCCCAAACTGCTGTTTGGCGAAATCTTGTTTGTCAAACTATCAAAGAATTTGAATTATTATAAAAACAATTGATTGGGCGTTGTATAAAAGATTGCGTGATTGTTTATTTGTCTTGAATAAAATGGATAAAAAGTAAAAGCATTTTTATATATAAAATCAATCTTAAACAATTTAATAAAATATATTATTGTTAGTAATAAAGTAATGGAATGAAAATAATAAAACTCATTTTATATTTTATTATATACAAATATTAAAAAAAACTATGAATAAGTTATTACATTTTTTATTATAAAAACAAAAGTGTATATGCTACATAAAACCAAAGTATCATTTATTATCTCATGTTATATTGATCATATTTTTACATGCAGTGCAAATAACAATTACAGTATCCAACTTGGCTATTGAACATTTTCAAGAAACCTCATATTTATAAATAAATGCTTGGTTGTAATTTTATTATGAATTATATTATAGGAATATATAATTTTCGTATGCTTTTTTTTAATTAATTAAAATTCTTTGATTTTTTTTTTTTTTTTTCAAATATCTTTAATTACAAATATATACACCATATACAAAATATTTCGATAGTAACCTTGCCGACTGGTAAGGCGATGGATTGTGTTCGGAGGGCGCGTTCTATGTAATAAGCAAATGGCACTACACGAGTGTCGCATAGAAAATAACTTTTTTCGTACCGAAACTTGTAATTTTGCGGCTACACAAAAATGACGAGCTTCTTAATCAAGACATTCATCATTCCTTTTAAAAAAAAAGAGGAAATCTCATAGGAATAACACCAACACATAAATTTACATTGGCTATTTGACTTATGTCAATCCTTATATGGCAGTCATTATTCACGTAACACTTTGAAAAACCA